TTCTTCAAAATATTCATTTTTTCTTATAATTTGCCGAATTAGATTTTTTTTTAAATCATTTTGTGACATTCTCAGTGAAGAGATTTGCAATGATTTGCCCTAGACTTGTTCTTTCAGACTTAGTTAATTATGAAGTTATTACCCTATCCAATAATAATCCAATGCAGAGGCAATAATGCAATATAATACATTATTTTATATATATTAAATATTTATATATGTATTATTATATATAGTCTTAAAGTTACAACTGGCCCTTTGAGTGCAACCATAATGCTAATGTGGCCCGCGAAGAAATTGAGTTTGACTCCCCTGCCTTAAGTGTTTGAATGCAATTTAAATACTGGCGAGCTGGGCCATAACAAATGTACACTTCTATATAGAAAGGGATAATGCCCCAGGACATTGTAAAAATGGGGCTCAATTTCATAAAACAGCATTCACACATGTTCTTATTTATTTATATTTTTGTGCTTTGAGAACCCTTGACTTGATTCCACCAAACCTGCACTGTACCGTATGAGCATCACACTTCTCGTTTGGGCAAACGAGAGGAAACAACACAAGGTAGTGCACTCAATAAAGCAGAAAGTGATAGAAGCTTTTTTAAATTTCCATACACTCTGACAGCCAGAGGATGGACAGCAGAGTTATTAGATTTCACCTAACACTTGCCTACACGTCCCAGTACATGTGTTTTGAGTGAGATTCATTTTCCCTCCCAGCTGAGACCAAAGCAGAAATATTGATGCTCAGTATGGATCGTAGCATTCAGCGGTGTGCTGTGCTGTGTTTCTGATGTATTCAGCAGAACCTGCCGTATCAAGCCTCTCTGCTGCTTTCGATTGATCGCTTCCATCATGCCATCATTAAGTGGAAGATGACATAATTGCCTTTTGTAGCTGTAGCAGTGCTGTAGTGGATGTGGTGAGCGGGCAGAGTGTGTGTGGGGAGTCTGCATGCCCTAATTCTGAACCTAATAATTAAACGGGCTTGTCAAGTGGGAGTGTGTCCCATCACCGCTTGCACCGGCCCTTCAAAGCAAAAGACCCTCCCATTGACGTGAGGTCCCCCCTTCTGCCTTAACAAGAAACGCTGAAAATCACCGATTCATTTTATGTTTTTATCCATGGCTTCAGAAAACGACTTGTTCCATCTGGATTTTTCATGCTTTTAAAGGTTGTTTCCAGCGATCACGGACCCGCCATCCTTTCATATGTACAGGCAGCCTGCGAGGAGCTCACTCTGATCTAGCTGCTCCCGCTCAGCGCCGGGCGCACATTCATTAAAATGCACCGCTCCCCAATTATTACCATGAATGGGGGGATACCTTCAGTGGCTACAACTTCAAAAAAAAGTTCACAGAAGGAACATAAAAGGGAAAACATCTCGCCAACCTGTGCGGAATAATACCAATCATTGTGTGCAGTCCATGAAACGATAGGATGTACAGTAGATGCAGCATTATAGGGGATCACACGTGAACAATTACAATGCTGCTTCCTTTTAAGCAAACAAATTGGTAAAATAAAAGTGTGTATACTAACAGAGGAGGTCTAGCATAAATCCACTATATTACTATGTAAACTTTTATCATACTCAATGTGAACTTATCATATAACATAAATGTAGAAAAAGTATTGCTCACCAGAACCTTAACCATTTTCTTTGTATGTTAATCAAATGTGAGCAACTTAACAATAACACCCTTAAAAACAAAGTATTGTCAGTATTTTTCCATCAGTCAGAAAAAAAAAAGCACACTAAACTCTCAACATCAACTGACTCTTCAAACTGCAATATCTCCCTTGTCGATCGTACACTTATCTGATACACTGATGTCTTCATTTAACGACTAAAATGAAAAAAACAACAGATGTCACCGAGCAGACATGGAGAGACAACTGTGATTAATTGTTTCATAGAGTGTGGCAGGGATCAGGAAATGGAGTTGAAACGCACAAACATCCAAGACATTTGCATATTTTTGTTCAGAGAAAAATAACAAAGAACAACGGAAAATGTGTACCACAGTATATCAATACCTGCAATTATAAGTCCAAGCAAACGATGGAAATGTAGTACATACATCATTTGTCTAATGTTACTGTCAAGCTAACAAAAAACATTTCTTACCAGATTTCATGGTTATAAACTTTAATCATGTGTAATGCTGTAGAATAACCCAACAATGTTATGGTTTGTTTAAAAAGCCACACCACTCACGATATATTCAGGATATGGTAGCAGTTTATCAAAGGCCTTTAAACGTCATTATTTAATTTAATCGAAATTGCAATCGTGATATGACCCTCTGCGATTATCACTACTAGTATCTATGTTATCACCCCAAATGGAAGCGATTTAATTAACTAAAAAGTGTGCGTTTGCGAATCTGCGAATTCTAAAAATCTATCATTTGTGTGCGCAGTCTAATTATTATGCACGCACATGCTGCGGAGCCGACCAATCAGGCTCAGTCTGCCTTGTTTGGTCACATGACCATCCACTGAGGAACGGATGCAAAATGAACACGCGACCTGTTTGCTGTAAATTAAGCTACAGTAAGGTTTTCTATTAAAAACGCAAACAACAGTTGCAACACGACGCAAATGTACCAGCACCTTAAACAACACAGAGAAAAATACAAAGAATGAACGGCGGCAGCGAAAGTTTCGAAAAATAAAGACACAGCTACAGGTTAGCTTGCTAGCTAAACAAAGTGCAAGTGTACGTCATGTCTTCACGGTGATGTGTTGTTAGCATTGGAACTGAGTGAGGTGCGTCTGTAGCTATCAGAGCTAACTTTGCTAATCACTAGTGTTTCCCAACCGGGGGTACGCGTACCCCTAGTGGTACGTGGGTGGTACCCAGGGGGTACGTGAAAAGATTTTGAAAAGTAAAAAAAAAAATAAAAAATTTAGATTTTAGATTTTTTTTAATTAATTTTTTTACAGGAAAACTGTACCCAAATAATGAATAATGCATAATCTGTAATAATGTAACCACAATTGGGGGCATTGAAATTAAGTAATAATTTGCTGGCTATATACAGTGGGGCAAAAGTATTTAGTCAGCCACCAATTGTGCAAGTTCTCCCACTTAAAAAGATGAGAGGCCTGTAATTGTCATCCTAGGTATACCTCAACTATGAGAGACAAAATGAGAAAAAAAAAATCAAGAAAATTCCATTGTCTGATTTTTAAAGAATTTATTTGCAAATTATGGTGTAAAATAAGTATTTGGTCACCTACAAACAAACAAGATTTCTGGCTCTCACAGACCTGTAACTTCTTCTTTAAGAGCCTCCTCTGTCCTCCACTTGTTAACTGTATTAATGGCACCTGTTTGAACTCGTTATCAGTATAAAAGACACCTGTCCACACTGCCAAGGCACAC